GACTTCCAGCAGAGCCCTTCACGTTAATGGGAAATATCTAGGGGCCAAAAAATAAAATAAAATAAAATAAAAAGATAATTTAGTCAAACCGAAGACTTTTTTTTTAATCTAATTTTTATTTGATATGTTCAGAAACTACCTCAGACATTATAACCCAGGGGATTCCCCCCATCCCAAGCGAGAATGATCCTGTATATACCTGATCATTACAAAAAAGTAAATGGTGAAAAATGAAAATACCTTACTTAGATCAAGTTCTTTATATTATTTTTCTTAACTTCTCAAATCAAACAATGATACAAGAATTTTTTTTCTTTAGATGGTTAAGATATAATAGTTTATCATCCCTCTTTCAAAGTCATAAAACAAAGTAATGAATTTGAATTAATGTTTCGTTATAATCCAATTAAAGGCATAAGATTGCACACTGTAGTCAAAGATTTAGATAATGGTGCATTATTGCATAAGCATTGCCATTGCAAAATCGTTACCAGTACACCAACGAGTGCCAAAATGGGACTGGCTTCCTTCCATTTATGTAGGTCCTGAATAAGGTAACTCAATTAATTGATTGTTTTAGAAATAACTAATGTGAAAAAGAAAAAAAAAAAAAAAAAAAAAAAAATTTTATTATAGAGCATTTTTTTTTTTTAAAAAAAACAAATGAAAAAAAAAAAAAAAGAGAGGATATAAAAAAAATTATTTATATAAGTTTTTTTTTTTTTTTCATTTGTTTTTTTTAAAAAAAACAAATGAAAAAAAAAAAAAAAAAAAAAAAAAAAAAAACTTATATAATAGAGCATATTTTGTTATTAAAGAACCTGTAAGAAAAATGATAGTGCTGCAAGGAAGCATCCTAAGCATGTTCCGGATGCAGAGATCTGCATAAAAGTGAACATTGTGGATTCAGATTTTAGTGACCATCACAAAACAGAAGAACAAAAGCTTAACCATTTTTACCAGTAGAAGTGGTCTTCTCCCTGATATATCCATCAGAAGTACTCCCAAAGTTGTCATTGGGATCTATAAAGACAAAAATGACTGAATAGAAGTGAAGAGAAGACTCACCAAAAAAAGTAGCATCTATCTCATTTTATACTATACAACATTAAGAAGACAAGTGAATTAATTGTATGAAGAACCTGAACAGCAACCATTGCTATCATTCCAATACTTCCGGAAAACCCTGCCATGGATAAGAATTTTTGCCTCTATGACAATCACGTTATAAATTCAATATTCTCATAGTCATTTTCCTAATGTGTCATATGTTAGAAGCATTAAAAAAATTTGCATGTACCAGCAGAGATGAATATAGAACTTGCATAAAAAGAAATGCCGTTAACCCCTCCAAACTGTTGTAGTATCATCAGGCCAACTCCTACCTAACAAAGTAACTAGATACCATAAGAATCTGCCAAAGGATATGAAAGGGTGCAAGAATGGGAATATAAGCTCACAGTGAGTGACTTCAGATACTGCAATTGAAATAAGCCAATGATGCTAGCTTCTGTTTGCATCTGAAGGGCTTCAGTAAAATCCTACAAAAAAAAAAATACAACATAGAAAATAACATATTAGGCTTCTTTCCTTTTTTCCCCTTGTTTTGCTTCTTACTTGGTCTGCAATCGACAAGTTAACCTTCTAATGAACAAACACTAAATATATATACTCTAATTTCAGTGGCCTCTTGAGAAACATCAGCATTCTTTCCTCTAAGGCGCTGTAATGCAGATTCACTCCTTTCCCAGTGACCAAATTTTGCCTGCAGAAGATTTCTACTATCAGATATTTGTGACGTGTTTGTCTAACAACATGCCTTGATTCCAATTATTTGATAAAAGTGACGAAAAATCTCAGTTTCTTGTGTGAAAATTGTGTCCAAACAGAAGCCATAGATAACTCTCACCAGCCACCTAGGAGACTCAGGAATGAAGAATAGACCCAAAAGTTGTACAAGACATGGAACAGTTCCTGAGACAGAAAAAGAAAAAATTGAAACTTACATCCAACTTTTAAAATTTCAATTTGTTAGAAGAAAACCAGAAAGAAGAACATTACCTATTAGAGCTAAAATCCTCCAATTCAAGAATGCTCCGATAAGATAAGTTAATGATACCCCACAACAAATCATTAACTGTCTCCAAATAGGGATTCAAAATTAGCTTATTTGTGAAATGTGTAAATTAACATAGGTGGCACGTGCAATGAGATATAATCAGAGAAAACATCATTGCTTTACCTGATGAACTGTGGTGAATGCCCCTCGAAGATTCTTGGGCGTTATTTCAGCTATATAAACTGGTACCTATCATGGAAAGAGAAGACAACAACCCATTTGCATTTCTTGAGTAACTGAATACCTTTTGAACTGAAATTATGAGAAACCAAGAGTCACAACAATTACCACATAAGACAGAAGGCCCATGCCACATCCTACCAACAGTCTTCCAACATAAAGCCACCAACCAACCTTCAAAAAAGCACCAAGTGTCAAATATCAACGACTGAATTTGTGCAAACCTCGTTGGTTTACTTTACAAATCATGTTAGTTGCTTAAAAAGAAATTTTACTTAAGTTTTATAGTTAACTCAACACTCAACAGGACTACATGCAACTAGAAATGTAAGCAACTTAGAGAAACATGAAACGAAGTCAAAGAAGTAGTAAACCTTTGAGAATGCTATGGCAATCCATCCCAAGATGCAGAATACTTCGGAGAAGCCCATAGCCTGATTTTCAAAAAGCAACATAACCGAAAATCGAAATAATAAGACAGGAAACTTTCATTTCGAAACACACAAAATTGGATGAACTTACAACTCGTCGACCTGCATAGTCTGCTATTCTACCACTTATGATGGCACCAATCACTGCTCCAATTGACAGTATTGATCCAAAAAGTGAATACTGCATGGCCATTAAAAAAGCTTTAAATACTTCTCTTGCTATATACATGAAAAATGTTGTGATTCAAAGTTCAAACCTCGGCCACACCAAGATTGAGATCATCCATGATTCCAGTCTGAGCAGGAGATGAATATCCCACCTGCAAAAATCACAGTGACAATGGTAATTCTTAATTCTAATAAGGAGAAATGCTAGTAACAAAAATTTACTTTGTATCATTAGTTGAAATTTATAAGAAATCACAAAATGTTGCAGATCTCACTTATTTAGTTAGTCTCAACGTCTCATTTATAATTTTGTAGTTTCTAATTAATTTTAACTAATAATAGAATAGAAAGAGTG